CCTAGGTTTGAAACTTGGCTGCCCCACCTCCTAGCTGGGTGGCTCCCCTACCTACTAGCTGGGGGATTTCTGAGTTTCTTAAGCTCTGGGCCATTTTTCAAGTCTTTTCAACGCGGATAATAACATCAACTTCATAAGGCCATTGTGTGGCTGAAATGAGAAAATAACGCCTGTAGCATTTGTCAGAGTACCTGATACACAGTATACATACAGTTAGTGGGAGCCATTTGCATGATTTTTAAAAGGGAGTAAGACAATAAGAACTGTGTTTCAGAAAGATTAATCTGGCCATGTTACATCAAATAGATTTTTTAAAAAGAGACTGCAGACATGGGCACCATTCAGACAAGAAACTACAGTTTAAGCAAAAAGCAAATGAGATGAGAATAGGATGCTTTCTGGTTTTCTTTCCTATTAAAAACAAGTTTTTTCTCCTGTCTTTGGCCTGAGCAGCCCTAGAAAAGAGAGTGACCTTGTTGCTTTTCCAGGTTTATCAAGGATATTTTAATCATTTTTGTATCTTAACTCATGTAATCCATGGTGAAATGGTGATGAATATGTTTTAAATATTTTGATTAACATTATATAATAACTGGAGGAATTTTAAGTGTGCTCATTAATTCTGTTTCTCTGGAGAAAGATGACACAAGGCTTTGGTAATTACAAGGTCATTTACATTATCAATTAAAATATAGTTTTTCCAGTGCTTGCCCATGCACTCATTTCCCACACACCTATGGAGCGCCTACTCTGTGCCAGGCACTGTTCCAGGCACTGAGTATACAGTGGTGAACACAAGGTCTTTGCACTCAAGCAGTTTATATTTTCATGAGGTGAAGTATTAAAAATCCATTCATTCAACAAATATTTATTGAGTACCCATTCTGTGCTTGGGATGCATTAGTGAACAAAACAAGCAAACATCCTTGTTGTCATAGAATTTAACTTCCAGTGGGAAGAGACAGACCATAAACCATACATATAATAAATAAGGTAAGTCCACCATTTGTCAGAAGGTGATCAGTGTTACTGAAAAATGAAATAAATCAGTTAAGGGAGAGTAGGGGTAAGGAGCTGAAATTACAGTTTTTAGATGGGTGATCAGGGATGCCTCTTCAAGAGATGGAAGGAGGTAAAGTGAGCTCTGTGGACCTCTGAGGGAAGAATGTGCAAGGCAGATGCAACAGCCAATGAGAAGGCACAGAGATAGGAGTGCTCCCGCCAGAGATGAGGACAGGGAGTACAGTGAGCAAAGGAGAAAGCAGCAGGTGATTAAGTGAGATGTGGAGTGGAGAGAGGACAGACCATAGATCTCAGGCAGCTTTGTCCAGTGAAGACGCCACTGTTCAACTGAAAGAAACATAAAAATGCTAAATACATTTCTTCTTCAGCAAAAGACAGGTTCGCCGTAAAACAGAGTATCTCTGAACAAAGAAATCCGTGGTCTTACACAGTGTTTCTGGGAAGCATGGGGTTCAGAGATTAGCACTGTTCGAAGCTGGACTGTTTAGAGATGAGTTGACCTTTAGCTGAGGGAGCAGCAGCAGGATTACTGGAGTGTGGCAGTTGGCTGCCACTGATTGGGAGTCTGTCACTGATTGATTAAAACAGAATTACTGGTGGTTGCTTGTAGGATGGCCAAAGAACAATCCGTTTTTTCCTTTGTTCAAATTGGCTCACTCCGGCTGCTGCGTAGGCCAGGGCAGAAGCAGGGAGACCAGCTAGGAGGTGAAAGAAAATGTGGCTCGAATCATGGTAGTAGTTGTGTGGTTAATGAGAAGTGTTCCCACTTGGGATATACATATGTCAACAACAACAGCAACAACAACAACAAACCTCAGATAATCCAGTTAAGCTAAGCTATTGGAGTGCACACATTTACCTTTACCTAAGATGAAACGACTGGATGGCATTATAGAGAGTAATTGGGTGGGGCTGTATTTTAAAGGAGGAGCCAGAGAGAGCTTCTTTGAAGAGGTTAGACCTCAAAGATGAAAAGAAGCCAGACCTTAAGGCAGGAGGCTGGTGTGTGTGTATAGCAGAGCCAAGACCCGTGCGTGTAGAAGGTGGCGGGGTGGGGGGCGGGGAGTGGGGGAGGGAGGAAACAGAGACCAGATCCCTCCAGGCCTTCAGTACATAGAACCGATGGAGAAGAGAGGGGTGAAACTCCAATCAGACAATTCGAAATGGAGACAATACTATAATCTTGGAAATTCTATGAGGTCTCTTTAAAGTAATAAAGTAAAATCCAAAGGAGAAGTCTTTACTGCGCCAGAGATTGTTTTGTTTGCTGAATTATGACTCACCAATGGTGGTGTACACTAAGGGGCAGCTGTGGTGTCCCTACACCATGCAGTCACCTGTTCTCTGTCCTTTGACTTTAATGTAAGGTCTAGATGAGCATGAATGTCTTTCCCAAGACTAAATTGTGATCCAAATCTCTCTCATTCACCATGTGATTACAAAAAAAAATGGTTAACATTTATTGGGGGCTTTCTGAATACAGGTATGAAGGGACAGGTTGTCAAGGTGGGATGACCTGGGATTTGACTGCAGAAAGAGTGTGGACTAGGTCCCCTGTTTCCGTGAGTGTGGAGCTCCCAGGGGAAGGAGAGTGCTTTTTCACCTTTGTAGCCCTGGAGCTCCTAGCCTAGTGCCTGGTAAACGGTAGGAGCTGAATAACCTTTTTGTTGAATCTGAATTAAGCATGTAGATTAGATTTAGGGTCCTAAACCTAATAATACATTAGCTCAGAGAAAACAGTCACCTTTGCATCTTTTGGTTCATCTAGTGTGTGGATTAGTCATACTTCTGATTCTACTACTTCTTTTTTATATTTCCTGCCTTTGAGCACTCATTTCACTCCTAAAACTCCACCTCACTGTTAATCATAGAGAAAACTCCACCTAACTGGTAATCATAGAGAAAAGGAGGCCATTTTTACTCCTTTTAAGCAAATAACAGTTTTTAAAAGTTTGATGGAGATTCAAATTCATATCACATAAAGATATTGAGATAATGAACCAAAAAAATTTAGGGCTTTTTATGTGTATTTACTTTATTTTAATGCCAAAGAAGCCTAAGAAATAGCTAGTATTACCCCCATTACGGAGGTAAGGAAACGCTCACACAGATGTAAAGCAATTTGATCAGGGTCACAAGCCCTTAAGAGGAGCTGGAATTCAAATCAGGTTGTCTGATTCCACAGCGGCATTGCTCCGTGCTGCTCTTGGAATAATTTGGAGACTTTCATTTGTCTTTGGTTATTTGCTCCGGAAATGTTAAAATATGCAGAGAAACAGTAGGAGCTCTATAAATAAAACATGCCTATATATTTCTAAATGATTAAAGCTGGAAAGTTTAATGTGGCACCATGCCACTTGTTTAGTGGAAGTAAAGGGAAGGCGATTCCCGGCTCCCTGTGCAGAAATCCTGTCGCTCTTTGCACTGAGTGGTTTCTGGCTCTTCGCCCATCCGTGATGGTCGCAGCCCAGGGAAGTCCGACCCAGACTGCAGTCGGGGAAAGGCAGCGAGGGAGCTTGGCTGCACTGAGGAAAGAAGAGGCCATGGATTCTTGCTGCCTAAATGTCATCTGGTTGGGAAAAGACACATGTCAGGTTGCAACTACTAGGGCGGGGGGCGGGGCAGGAAATGCAACAATTTTAAGTTGGGGTGCAGGCTGGCTAGACTGACGGATCTGTTAAACCTGAAGGAGAGGATTGTGTCCCTAAATGAAATCCGAAAAGCGAACACCGAAGCTCAGAGACCCAGTCAGAGGGGACGTCGGGCATTTGGCAAAGTTAATAAGGACACAAGGAAAACACGAGGTGCTGAAGGCAGTCCAGGAGGTAACTGCTGTTCAACTCCACCCGGTGGCTCGGGTGTCGCCCTGGCCGGCAGCTTCTGCCCTTGGTTTCCCCTTCTTAAAAATCGAGGCGCAAACCGGCTGCACCCAGGCGGGTGATACACCTCCACGTGGGAGAGGGTGGGGGCTGAGAAGGGAGGCAGGCCTGAGAAATCTCGTTTCGCAGAGGCCCAGGAAAACACCGTGGGAAGAAAACCCGCCTAGACCCTTAGCGGCGCGCGGGATCCTGGCCCCTGGAAGCCCGGCTCCGCAAATAGACCGCTGGCCCTCTAGACCTGCAACCCGCCGCCCGCCGCCCTTTGCAAGCTCGCGCAAGGGTGGTGGCTCGGCGCACGCGGTGGGGCCGGGGCGGGGCTTCGGAGGGCGGGCGAGCGGGAGGAGCGGAGGGAGGGCGTCGCGCGGAGGGAAGCGGCCCGCGGCGGAGGGAGGGGAGGCCGAGTGCTGGAAGCGGAGCTCCGCGCTGGGACTGGTTCCTTCGCAGCCATTTTCTGTCCAACCAAACAGCCGATTGGAGACGGGAGCCAACCAGGGCTGCATTGGAGGTTTGTGTCTCGCTTCGGCCAATGATCGCTCCTAAACCGACTCCACTTTAGCTCGAATGAAATGTCCGTCTCCTCCCGGCGCCGTCCCCGCCGCCAACGCCGCCGCGGCCGGGGGCACTCGCCTCCCTCATGCCCGCCCTCCCGCTCGGGCCGGGCCGGTTCAGCGCCTGCGAGGCCGCTCCCGCTGCGGGCCCGGCCGGGGAGCGGGCGCCGGGCTGCGGCGCGGCTCTTTGTGCGCCGGGCCGAGGAGCGGCGGGACGCGGGCCAGGCCGCCTCCCGCTCGTCCCCGCCGAGCTCCGGGCTGGAGGCCGAGGAAGGGGTGCCGGGAGCTCGTCGGGCTCCCCTCTCGGCGGTGCCCCGGCCGGCTCCATTTTGTGCGGGAACCCGGCCAGGGGGCGGGGGGACGTGGTTCGGACCCCTGGCCCCGACCCTGCCCCCTTGGCTTGGCAGCCGCGCGGGGGTCCCCGGGGAGCTCCCCTCTTCCGCCCGCGGAGGCATGCGGGGCCGGGCCGCTTTGTCTGCCCCGGCACCCCGGGCACCGCGCGCGGCGGGCGGGCGGGCGGGCGGCAGGCGTTGGGCGCGGGCCGGGGCCTGGGCTGGGCAAGTCCGGGGGATGCTTGCCAGGGCGTCAGTGCGGGACTGACAGATCCGCGGGGCTGTGGGGCCGGGGCCAGCCCGCGCACCTTCGTCGGGAGGAAGCGAGGTCCCCGGGAGGAAGGAATTGCTTTGGTCTCCCCAGTCTGGTTTGCACGAAAAGAATGCAGCCATCTGGCGGCTTGCGGTCCCTGGATTTGCCCCCAAGGTGGGAAGGAAGACTTTCGAATTGGGCTAAGGTTTAGTCTTGGGTGGGAGGCGGGGAGGATGTGTTGGGCCTTAGGAGCAGTATTACTCTGCGAGAACAAAGAATTACAGAGCACCCACAAGTCGTAATTTCCCCCAAAGTACTATAACAAGATAATTTAAACAAGCTTTGGCAGCATACCACCTTAAAAACAAAACAGCACCCCAGTAAGCCTCTTGGACTTAAACAGTTCCGTGGGTCGTGCCCCGAATCACTCACCGAGATGGTTTGGGCATCAGTATGCAAAGTAATGAGCAACAGAAAGTGATGAGGTAAACCAATCAATACAAGTGGCATTTTAATAAACAGGAGTTTTATTTGTCAACGACGGAAAGTTTAGCCGGCATTACTTAAAAGGCAGTTCAATTATTTCAGTTCCTCACTGCTCTTGTAGCTTAATTTAAGGACTATTGATGCAAAACTCGGGTTGTTGATGCCGAAGAAGGGAGGGTGGAGGAAGGGTCTGCTGCTTTTCTTGGATACAAATTTGCATTTTTTTCAAACATTAAACAGATGTATGCATTCACTTGAGCTTTCACATATATCATAATCTGCCTTTAAGAAAATCCATACCATATGAGGTGATAGCGTTTTTCTTTAATACGCTAAATCTAAAATACTCAACTATTTGGGTGATTGTAGTGAGGTGTAGACCCACCCCAACTCCCAAGCAAAATACACATACATACGGTTCTTATATTCCTAGGAAATGTTTTTTTCTGACACTTAAAAAAATAACACTTCTAGCTATAAGAAAAGAATTTTCTGGGCAATTTGGGGGTTAGAAAGAGGACAATGTTTGAAAAGAAATTAAAAATTGCATTTATGATTATAGCAGGCAATGTCAGCCTGTCTTTGCTGCCTCTACCCTCCTAATGGCTTTTTAAAAATTCAATTCAGTGGCTACAGTTTTTTCTGTTTATTAGATTTCATGCTGGAATGCATATGAGTATTTTCTTCCCTTAAAATTAACACTGAAAGGATGTTTTTGTTTTGACACCCCCTCCTTTGTTTCACTTGAAAAAATGAAAAGAACCAATGAGAAATGGAGATTGTAACATGTAATTGATACCAATTTATTGAAGAGCTATTCAGATGAAATTGTAGTCCGGAGTGGCAGTGCTTTAAAATTTTAAATAGAGCCCTTGATTGACTGTGTTGTTCTCTGGATGGCGTGTATCTTCTTTCCAGTATAATCCCAGATACTTAATTTAGAAGCATTATATTCTGAGATAAATTTTTCTTCCCTTTCAGACCCCCGAATCTCATTCTAAAACATTAAGAAACCATCTCCCCAAATTAAGCTGATACTCTGTTTGGGGTGTTAGTATTTTAAGTAGTTTAGATGTGTAATTGTTGGTCTCCCATCCACATTACATAATTTGGTGGTGTGTTGTGATGAATATTTTTGGTGAGCATGACTAAATTCAGGGTTATGTTGGAAAAGCAACACCCCCCCCACAACCAAGGAATCAACTTTCAAAATTTGAGTTCTCCAAAGTCTTCCAGTTTAACAAACATTTATTGGGTGCTTGCTTATTGCACCGTTTTATACCATGCACTCCACTGAATAAGAATAGCAGGTAAAATTATATGTGCCTTTTAAAAGTTTACAAGGAAGAAAGCCTGCAAGCTATACATTTTTATTACCAATACATGTTTTGTCTTCCAGGCTGGCACTGGGCAAGGATTAGACACTGACTCGGACGGCTCGGGCTGGTGTTCTTGGACACCACTGACAGCGCGGCTCTGACTGTTTCCTGACAGTAAGTAGGTTTTACCATTTTGGTTGTTAATTAGATTTGCACAGCAATTAGCTGGAAACAAAATTATAACTGATTTTATATTGGAGATACCTGGTAGGATGGATGCCTTGTAAGTCTAGACAATACCTATATTCATTCCTGAGCGACTTGGCATGTAGCAAGCGTTTCCTGTGGGCCCCTAAGTGCTGTCAAAGGTATAGGATAAAAAGCTTGTCCCAGCTCTTAAGAGGCTGTTTATCTGGTAGGGCTTTCGTCGAATTGAATACTTCGAGAACAGTTATGCGTGGAATGGAAAATGCTGCTCTGAGAATAGTACAAGTGAAAAGAAGAGAGGTGTGGTAGGCCTGGGTATTTGGGGATGAACCTCCCAATGAACCTTGCAGGATGAATGGGGTGTGGCAAGGTGCAGGGCATCACCAAATCTGAAAGCCTAAGGATGAGTAACATGTTTAGGGGGTGGAGAGTAGATCGGCATGGACCAAGCAGGATTTCACAGGACGACCTAGTGGGGAGATACCACTGGGTCTGTCTGGGTACTTGGTTCTGGGTCTGCTGCGATATCTGTGACACCAGGCATGTCACAACTACCTAGAGCTGTGACTGCCTAACTGTTAAAATAGAACTGCACGCAGTGATCCCTAAGTAAGACACATTCCAGCACTGAGATTTTTATCAGCCATTAAAATGGAATTGAAAACAAGACTAATTAGGTTAAGTGGGAGTCCGCTCTTTATGCCTGGAAAGCATGAGAACTGTATTTGCAAGAATGGTAATCATACAGCATTTCATCGGTCAAGTTCTTACTATGTATCATGCTCTTTGCTAAGTGTTTTTTATGTGGTAACTTCACTTCTCAGAGCATCCCCGAGTAAAAATGGGGAGGCCGAAGCACAAAGAGGATGGTAAGGGAAGACAGGCAGCCAGTGAGTGGAAGCCCAGCTTCCGACCCAGGTGGTCTGTGTAAGAGCCAGCGTTCCACCACTGCCTCCTGGTGAGAATCTGAAACCAGGTGCATTTCTTACCGTTTCACAACGTTGGCCTTGTTTCAGGGGCAACTTTAATTGTTTTCGGTATACAGTTGGTGTACGCACAGTTTCAAAGGGGCAAATGAAAGATTTAGGCATAAGGACTATAGGAAAAACTATCAGTAGCAAATACTGTAAAGTACTTGGCATCTGAAGCCTTGGGTTTCAGTCCCACGTGCCGCGACACCTTTGGCAAGTCAGCCTCCTATCACCCCCGTGTTCTCACCTCCTTCACAGGGCTGTGAACACTGCATGCAGTGTTCAAGAAGTGTTCGATAAGTGTTAAACTTACTAAAGAGAGCGCTGTTTACTGCATTTTGTACAACAGATTATTAGTATAGTTTAAATGCTACATGGAAAAATTCATTTATTGGCCTAGCCAGCGGACCATTAATTTCACATATTTTAGGGAACACTATTTTTGAACCAAATAATCAATAGAATAGTCACTAAATTAACAGGGTTTAAATACTCTTTGTCCGTATTTACCAGTTCCCTTGAAAGGAATGGTTCACCATTTCACTCGTTCCCTTGTCGTTTTCCTACATGTGCTTTCTCTCGTCTGCACGGACTCGGTACTTCAGTTTCTCTGTTCATGAACCAGGCCTGTGAGTGTCACACGTGGGCACACTGGTACCATTCTACACTCGTGGTGGCCAGCTTCAGCCAGGCCCTTCGCATTGCCCACTGCCCGCACTCTTCCTTCCCCATTCTCTGCGGTGATGGCGAGGAAGAGCTGTAAGAATCCCAGCATTATCCTCATTTCTTCCTTCAGCTTTTGTCCAGTCAGTTACCACCTCTGCTGACTGTACCGACCACTCAAGTCTCTTCAGCTCTTTGTTCTTTTGATCTCCAGATACTGGGCGTGACCATCGTCTCGCCTGGACTCCTGCCCTGACTGCAGCAGTGTGGTCCTCGCTGGTCTGCCCCCATTCTTAACTCCCTTCAGTTCATTTGTATGCTGGACTATAGCCAGAGTGATCTTTTAAAAAAGAAATTGATTTGTCCTCTTTGCTAAAACTCTTCTTGGATTTGCTCTTGTCCACAGGTACTGCTTGACCTAGTCCCTACTATCCACCAGGACTATGTTCCCTTATTTCCTTCATCTGGAACATTCTTTTCCCATCTTTCCATGCCTAATTTCTGTTCATCTTTCAGTCTCAGTTTAAGTATTTCCTAAGACAGCCTGCCTTGACTCCTCACACTAGTGAGGTCCCTTTCAGAATAAACTCCCAAAGCATATAACAAGACATCTTTGTTTTCCTTAGCACTAACAATTAGTTAATTAATAGCCATATATCACATTTACTGAGTATTCCTGTTATACAGTGGTGTCTTTACGTGTTGTGTTTTAGTCTCATCCTACTTGTTCAAGGTCTCATGACCAGTAAGCAATAGGGAATTCAAACCAGGTGATGCCATTCTAGAACCTGCCCCTTGGAAATACTAATAGGCTGTGCTTCCTGCCCCTTTCCTGTGCCCCCATTTTACATAATGACATTTGTCTTCTCTGCAAGATGAGGACAGAGACTTTTCTGTGTTGACTCCTTCATCGCTAGCACATAGTACGAACCTGATAAATACTGTTTACTGGGTGAATTATTTGTTGACTGGCTTGCTTACAATCTATAGTCTGTTTTTGCAAAATTTTATAAGATGTTTTAGACCTAGAAAAAAACCTTTGGGACGTATGTAGTAAGTCCTGCCCCCCATTCCTCATGTATGGATAGCATATTGTAAGTATCAAAGATGAGGCTAATTTGTTGAATGGAAGATACTAAGTCCTTGGGGATTCAGAGATGGGAACACTAATTTTTGGCTTACAGAATGCAGTAAACCCAAAAGATTTCAGGAGGATGGGGGAACACTGGGTTTAAGTATGGGGCACGGATTTTTATGGTCAATAGTACAGACAGAAGGTATGGTGAAATGACAGGAAAGCTAAAACGTGGGGAACCCAAGACACACACAGCCAAGCAGAAGACGGTGTGGCTTATCTTCAAGGGAGGGAGGGTGACACCTGGTGTCTCCTGAGCACTCTCCGAGCCGAACACTGTCCTTGGTGGGTTTCTGTTCTTGTTTAATTCTGACAACTCTGACACACTTTCAGAAGCAGTTTTAGAAGACTGAGGTAGTTTAGAGACTAATTCTCTTAATCCAAGTGATAATCTTGCTGCTAATTGCAGTGTATGACAAGATAAGGGGATTTAAAATTTTTGCCTTGTAATACTTTTTATGTTGTATTTATACATTAATCTCCCGGACTCTTTTTTTTTGAACAGTGTCCTTGGTATCCTGTGGACATTCATTTTGGAAAGCATTTGTTACTTTTTTTCCTCTCCCCCACTTAAAAAAGATTTGGTTTTAGTAGTATGTTTGTAACACTGGCCCTGTCTCCCGCACCTTGATCTCACCTAGGGCAGCGTAAAAAGGAGTCAGTTTGCAACTATTCTAATTGAGCTCTTTTTATGGCTAATAAATCCATCATCATATCTGTCAATATATTAGACTACTCTCCTAGTATCTTGTTTGCATTTTAGGATTAATGTAGCATTTTGTATTTGGGTAATGTTCACATTCATTTATATTAGCTGTTTAGGATGGGGAAGGCGATACTGTTACTTTACATTTAATCAGTAGGGGTGCTTGTTTTCAGGGATCAGTAAGAAAAGTCAGAGCTCACTGTGTTTATCGCCTGTTAGAGGCCACTAAGAAGTATTAGTAAATAGGTACCCTGTACTTTTCCACATTATTTAAGGTTAGGTGAGTTCTGTTCTCTCCTCCCTTAAAACAACTAGGTTATGGAAATGTATCTGTATCTACAATGAAATTAGATACCACAGTCAAAAGATGCATCAAAGAAATGCCACATTATTAAAGACTTAGAAACTAGCCTGGTATTTTAGTATTAGATAAAAATCCAACAGAGATGGAAAAGAAGACATGTGTTACAACAAGGACTCATACTGCAGTTAATAACGGCAAGTTTGTGCTGGTCCTGGGCCTTGATGAACATTTTAGGATCAAGTGTCTTGATTTGGCCCAAAGCATGTATAAACTACACTTACATTTTGCTACACTGTTTACTCAGATAATGCATTAAAGATTTTTCTACTCACAATTAGCCAGTTCCTTGTTGTCCCTCCCCAGCCCCTCTTTCTTAGCATTATTTACAGAGCAGAAAGACTTTCAGGATTTGTCATGTTGGTGAAATGGGATGTAGGCAGTTTAAAACTAATGGTTTTCTCTTTTTTTCCCTCCAGATTTTCCCTCTTAGAATTCTTTTAGCTCTGAGCAAAATTAATTAAGCAGACCTTTTTTTTCCCCCCAATAGCAACTCACTTGTCTGTGGTTACATGAGAGTAATTTTCCTGTCCTTACATGCAGATCTCCAGCCTCCCTGCCCCTTCCTTTTCTTTTTTCTTTAAAGAATTAGAGGTTGATGGGCTCGTTGAAAATGCGGGTGCACGTGTGGTCAGCATGGCGCAGATTAGGCAAGGAATCCATACGCTTCTTATCCCAAACAGCAGTGTGAACCAAGACGTTGTCTGTTGTGGAACTCTGAGACCACAAAGAAAGTCTGCATCAGGAACGAAAGGGTTTGCCTAGAAATATTAGGCTTTAGCAGGAGAACTGAGAGGGATGCACATGGTGCTTTGCAGGAGACTACTCATTTTGGTTTTGCTTGTTGCTCTAGGGATAAGTTAGGTTTTACATCAGGGCTGCCTGTACTACATTTGAGGATTGTGCAGTGGAGAGGAAAGAGGTGTGTGTTTTAGATTCATTTCCTCATCTTGTTTCCGTGTTGGTCTTACGCTCATCACTCACGGAGGATGGATAGGGCACATTACCAAAAGGCTTCCAAATCAAGAAATATGTTTACTTTTAGTAAGCTACAGCTGTGAACAATGTAATTGACCCATCCTATGACATTTCATGAGCACCGAATCTATTGTTTTTTAAGGAAAGTTTTATTGAAGAACATTGAACAAGGTTTTTCCCTCCTAGATGGACGGCGACAGTTCCACAACGGATGCCTCCCAGCTCGGGATCTCTGCAGACTACATAGGGGGCAGTCACTACGTCATACAGCCTCACGATGGTAAGAAAGCCATGGGTGGGGACGGGTTCACACGGAGAAACGGATTCGGAAGCGGAAGTTTATTAACATGACGTTCTAGGTCACTGTTGTCTTTACAGGAAAATTAGCAATCTTGCATCACAGTTCAGTGGAAAATCTAAAAAGGTATACCCTGCTATTTTAATGAGAAATAGTCTTCAAAGAGTGATGGAGTCCTAGGAAGGAGTTCTATAAAAGTACACCTTTTTAAAGTTTCTTTAGAAAATTGTTACTAATTTCCTATGTGAGAATTAAACATGAAAAATTCTTACTCAATTGGTATAGTAAGTAAAATAATTCTTTAGAGGATGACTTGCTAGCTATTTCTAGTACCTGTGAACAGAATTATTTTTGTTTTTCATTCAACATTAAGTTTGAACTATGCAGGTGTTAGAATGGGCACTATTATATGGCTTGTTATAAATAACTTAGTTTTGTAGCATTCTGACTTACAAGATTAAAAACGTTAAGATGTATTTTTGTAGCAGGCAATTAGAGGAGGATTAGTTATTTCATCCTAAAACATAAACAAGTTAACTTTGATAACATCATTTTTAATGCATAAAAATATATATTGAATCAGCTTAAGTGCCTTTCCCATTTAATTCATATAAAGAGTGGTAGTTTTACTTACAAGATAATGCATTTAATCATAAAAGGATCTTACTGGTACTGTGAAAGCCTTGGTTTCACTAAATCTACATAATTTGAAAATTCACTTTTTGTAAGAATGTTGGATTACTGCTATAGCTTTGTTTAAAACTATTACTACACTAGTAATAACCCAATTGGATCAGTAATATTCAAGTCCAGTTTTTCCTTACTATATACATTTGGCTTTGGATAAACATACTTACTAGCTTTTAATCTAGCAATATGCAGGGGACCATCATTATAGGTCAAGGTCTGTAAGTTTTATAGCTGAGTCATGTGACACATTTATGAGCACTTCCTCTGTGGAAGGTGCTACCAAGTCCTAGGAAGGACAAAAAGCTGATCTCGGGTCTCAAGCAGAAAAATCTAATTGAGGGAATCAGAAATAAAAAGGATTATAAAATGTGTCAAAAAAAGATGCACAGAGGCACTTGTGATATTTTGTGGAATATCATTCATGCTGTGGAGATGTTACTGAGCTTTTTGGAGAATGGGGAGGTAGGATTTGAGTAGGCAGAACTGAGGACAAAAGCGTTCCAGACAGTGGGTTTCAAATGAACGAGTCCATTTAGTTCTGGTCCTGAGAGAGTGGTAAAAAGAACTATCATCCTAATCCCTAAAAAGGATTAGGAAATGGACCAAAATAGTTCTTATCCTAGATTGTTGTAGATAAGATAGTCTTTTCTTCTATCTTGAGGTAAAAATTACAAGAAGCTTTAAACCTAAATTATTTTTTCTTTGTAGATACTGAGGACAGCATGAATGACCATGAAGACACAAATGGTTCAAAAGAAAGTTTCAGAGAACAAGACATATATCTCCCAATAGCAAATGTGGCAAGGATAATGAAAAACGCCATCCCTCAGACGGGAAAGGTAATGCAGAGGAGAAGCCTGACGAGGTTCTCTTGGGGCTGTGCAGCTGCACGAACACAGTTCGTGACTACAGTCAGCTGTTGACTGCAGCCTTTCAGCACGTGCTTCTTTCAGTTCTAACCCTCGTTACCTGACAGTGTTCCCTCTTCAGTTCTGTCCTGTCCCCAAAATGTGCCCCTCCCCCACCCATGGGAAGCAGATGAAATACAAGAATTTTTAAAAGAATAGGTGCATTGTCAGAACTATCAGGTCTGGGCATATGCTGTAACTTCTATAATGTTGCAGCAAAACTGGGTCATTGGACTGATGTGGAAGTTACAAGGACTTTTAAAAAATCCTTTTATTTGGAAACAATTGTTAATAAAATTATAGGTATTAACGTACATTTAAATTCAACTGGAATTTTTTAAAGTAGTTTTGTTAGAACCACTTTAAAAACTCATTTGTCACTGTACTCATCACTCAGGCTTAAAGTCACACTTTTAATATTTTATATTGCATAATACATTTTTCTTTTTATTAAAGATTTTATTTAATTTTAGAAGGGAAAGGAGAGAGAATGAGAGGGAGAGAAACATCAGTGTGTGGCTGCCTCTCGTGCACCCCCTACCAGGGACCTGGTCTGCAACCCAGGCACGTGCCCTGACTGGGAATTGAACCAGCAGTCGTTTGGTTCACAGGTCGACACTCAATCCACTGAGCCACACCAGCCAGGGCTAAATTTTTCTTTAAAAAAAAAAAAACATTTTATTTACTTATTTTTAGAGAGAGGGGAAGAGAGGGAGAGAAAGAGCTATTGTAGCTTATACAGTACTTATATATTGTATACAATGTACTTTATTATAGCTTATAAAGTATATGTGAAAGTAATAAAAGCTTGTAAATAAATATATTGTTTAAATACATCACTCAGCCTAGTAGTTCCAGTTTGAGAGATCCTCTTCATGTTTTAAGGGAAAAAAACACATATGGTTATCGAGCACTTGAGTTAGTGAATAAATTGAGATGCGCTTGTAAATGTAAAACATAAACCAGATTTCAAAGACTTGAGTGAAAAAAAAACAATGAAAATATCTCAGTTTTTAATGGATCCTGTGTTTAAATAGTATTTTAGGTGTACTGGGTTAAATAAAACATAATTATCTTGCTGGACTGCATTTATCCAGCTCTGGTGTACTTTTCTCCAGGATGGAATATGGGCATGGAGATGAAGGACAGTGTGTGTCAGCAGGGATCCTGAGTATCATTCCTGTTAGAAGTGGCTTTGGGAGTGCATGGTTTAGTCCACTAGAGCTTTCCTTTCACACCCTAGACCCTTGAGAGAAGACTTGTTTTTATGAGGTGGCAGGTGTGTGCTTCTTTAAGTAGGCTTTTTAAAAAACTCAAAACCTGACACTTCACATTTTTAGCAGGAAAAGTGTCACCAGATGCCATTATTTCACTTCCTTGTAAGCCTTACGTGACTTCAGTGTGTTTGTTTTATTAAATGTTGGTATGACCTAAGTCTGCAGCCCACAGTATACTAGCTACACGCATCACCCGGTGGGTTTTCTTGGGATACTTGGTTAATGAGTTTTCATTGTGGGGTGGTGGGGACATCCAGTGGTTGCTTTTATACTTAAATTGTATGTTTTCTGTGAATAGTTGCCAAGGCAGAAGCCTTGTATTTAAGTTTTTAATTCTCACTTTGAGGGCTGGAATTTTAATAGCACAAATGTGTTAACATTATTAGCATGTATTTCAAAGATTAAAAGTTCACAGTCATAAACTGAAGTTTGTGTTCTTCTGCGTAAATAGCCTTTTATTTTGCAGGTTGTTGGGAAGGTGATGATTATATTCCCTGCAAATTTACCTATAATATTTCTCTTTAGATTGCAAAAGATGCCAAAGAATGTGTTCAAGAATGTGTAAGTGAGTTCATCAGCTTTATAACATCCGAAGCAAGTGAAAGATGCCATCAAGAGAAACGGAAGACAATCAATGGAGAAGATATTCTTTTCGCCATGTCTACCTTAGGCTTTGACAGTTACGTAGAACCTCTAAAATTATACCTTCAGAAATTCAGAGAGGTAAGTAAAATGTCTCCTATTATGCTTTTAAGAAAATAAGATATACTGTTCACTAACTTTTAAAATGTTTAAAAATTTATAGCAAAATATATAACATTTCTCAGACGTGTGTAATCACTTAAGTTCACTGTAAGTCCTTTCTTTTTCCTTTGTAATTATTAATAACAATAGTACAGTTACGTAATGATTAAGAATGTGGACTCTGGAGGGTGAATCCCAGCCCCACCACATGTGAACTCCGTGATCCTGGGCAGGCTGTGTAAGTCCTGTCGGCCATGGTTTCCTGGTCTGTCAAGTGAGGCTAGCAGTCGTACCTGTCTCCCAGCTTTATTGAGAGCACTAAGTGGAACAACCTACATACCGCACTGAGCTTAGCATGTGAGTGCTCAGTAATGCATCTCAAAGCTTGGGGCCTTTTAGATGAGAAAAAGAGGGAATTATAACCATGTTCCTTTCTTATTATTGATTGAATTACATTTCCTTACTGTAAGTTTGGTGTAAGACTTACTTTGCTTTCAAAACATTTTCTTAGTACCTTTAGTGTAAAAAAAAAAAAAAAAGTAAAATTTTAAACTCCAAACTTGCTGTTCCAGTACTGCCCAGGTGGCTGGGGACTATATACATAATTGATAACTTGGATTATTTGTAGTAGATTCATAAGCTGAATATTTGTAGTCTTTTACAGATTATTTTATCTGTGAGTAGAATTCTATTTTCCTTTAGATGTAGTGTGGAATTAGAATAACTAATTTTACCCATAAATATTTTAGATTTTCTAGACCATTGTTAAGACTGTTTTGTGATGATTACTACTTATATAAAAAGTTAGCATTCTGAAGGGCCTCTTCATATGTAATTAGCCAGAAGTGTTAATAAATACTCTGTGTAGTATTTATAAAAATAGAAGCTCCTAATTTTAGGAAATAAGTAAGCATTCTCATTTAGAAAAGTTTCTTTTGAGTAGCAGTGGTTACTCTTTTTGGTCTTCCTTCCACAGGCAATGAAAGGAGAGAAAGGAATTGGTGGGGCAGTCACAGCTGCAGACGGACTAAGTGAAGAGCTAACAGAGGAGGCATTTAGTAAGCAGTGTTGTGATACATTTATGCAACTAAATTTAATGTCTGTAGTGGTACTTCAGGAAAACAGCACTGAATATTTTGACATAGCACTGTCTTGAATAGTTCGTCTTAGTTCATGCCCATATATTTGAAGTCAGTGGAGGCTAAGTATAAAATTTAAATTCTGCAGACATTACAATCTTTCCCCAATAGTTCTGATTCATTTCCACAGCCCCTAGTTTTTGGTGTAGGATTCACATGAGATAGGAATGTTGAGGATTATAGTTTGCAATATAAAATCTTGTGATTTAAATATATTTGAACTGTTTTTTAATTGAGTATCATATTATCATATGGTGAAATGAAAGGTCTGTGATTTCTCACATAAACTTTATATGTATACATTTTACATTTCTCATATGTAAAATATATGCTGCTTAGGTATGAAAATGTGGCTTCCAGCCAACCCTCATGATGTAGGTCTACCCGTGAATCACAGCCTCATTTCTGCTGATTCGTACACATGGGTAGTTAGCTAAAGTATATTTCAGAGAAATGAAGATTCAGAAAATAAAAAATGCTACATAAGAAATGTGCTTTTTAGGGAACTCTTTTAAAATGGAAAATTTGGGGGTTTATGATTGGGCCCATGATTATACTGATGAGCAGCAGAATTGTAGTGAGACATTAGTGGCACAGTTTTATGGTTCAGGCCAAGATGCAGTTCTTTTCTCACTTTGACTTTTCTTTTGTCTTTCAGCTAACCAGTTACCAGCTGGCTTAATAACTGCTGATGGTCAACAACAAAATGTTATGGTTTACACAACATCATATCAACAGGTAGAGTACCTTTGTATTTTAAATTATTTAAAAAATTGATTATTGATTTTGATCACAAGTAGTTAATTTCAACACATCATAATTATTAGCCTGATAAAAAGGTTAAATATTATTGCTCTGGCCAGGTGGCTCAGTTGGTTACAGCGTACACTGAGAGGTTGTAGGTTCGATTCCTGGTCAGGGCATGTGCGAGAGGCAACTGATCGATGTTTCCCTCTGTCTCTCCCTTCTCTAAAATCAATAAGCATATCCTTGGGTCAGGATTTAAAATATATATATATATGTATATATTATATATATATTATATATATATAACTGTTTGGTATTCTCTAATGGTTAAAAATACATACACATGTTCATATTTGCATAGAAGATTTCTAGAAAGATACACAAGAAATTAACAAAGTAGTCCCCCTTTGGTGGAGAGAATAGAGATTTAGGGTGCAAAGTAGACTGATTTTTCACCATCTGTTGTTTTTTTTTAAATTCTCTGTTGTTTTCATTCATTGAATGTTTATAATATACATGTTATTTTAAACTATTTTTTTCTTTAATTCTTGTCAATTTAAATTTTCTATTTTTAGATTCCTGGTGTTCAACAAATTCAGTTTTCATGATCGGAAGAAATGGTGGAGTGGGAAGTACCGAGAAGCAAGGGAGTCTGTCTGATTCCCAAGCAGAGACATTGGAAGGAAAGGACTGGTGAAATGATGTCTCTTTGTATATTAAATAGCTGTAATGTAGCTTCCTGATGCTTGACTAATTGAGGTGTTAATTCTGACTTGAGAATCTTTTTCATGAATGATTTTAAAGAAAAATTTGGATTTTAAAGGTATTGAAATATTTTTGTTTTGTACGAGAGTTTGTTGCTCTGTATGACTCCTGTATGCATTGTATATTGCAATTTATTACTGTCAGATTTGTAGACAGTTTCTTATTTTCATATTGAATCATGTTACTTTTGTAATTCAAGTAAGCAGCTGGGTTAATCCATGATGTTTACCCTTTAAATAAAATATAAGGATAAGGGTAGAGTTCATTTTGAATGCAAGTTGCCTTTATTATAAATTTGAGTTTGTCTTGGTTATATATCTTGCATGATAACCTAGCTAGATTTTTAGCATTTGCCATATTTATTAAAATTAATTTTTTGTAAAACATAGCTTAAGCAGCACCATTTTTAAAAAAATGTAATTGAAAAAATAAGTGTGAATGCAGAAGCAATTATTGTCTGCCCTATTAAAATTGGTGCCCATTAACAGTGTTTACACTGTTCATTGTGCCTGTTAAGATAATTTTAGCTTATCGGAACTTCTGTTAAGGCTAGATTTGTTTATTATGAGTGTTGGAATTCATTTCAGTTTAATGTAGTCCTACTGCTCTTGAAATGGTGCCCCTTTCACTTTGCATATGATTTTTCCAAAACATATCTTTGAACATCATAGTATCCCTCTTTCAGAAGAGGAATTTTGTAGTCTGATGATAAATGTCCTTATTTTACCTTTTTAATTGAAATGTCGTTTCCTATTATACTATGGAAACCAAAAAAACATCAGACATCATTATGTGTATACCGATTTTTTTGCATGGGTGAGTGAATGAAATGAAGAATTGAGTGAGTGCTGTGAATGGTGGGAAACAGAAGCTGCCAACTTCTAGTGTGCTGTCTTGTTATTTGCAATAAACTAAACTTAGATAATGTAACTTTGTATAATTTAGTAGTATGTACTTGGGTTCCTCTTTTTTTAAAGTGAGGATTTGTATTTTTTCAGTTAACCTGAGTGTGGTTCCTTTTATATATGTATTTCAATGATTACTTATTGTGTAGTCTGCCTTTAGGGAGACAGTTTGAGTGAACTTCATCTGGGTAGGACACATTTACAAGGTAGAAGCGCTTTCCCAGATGTAGGCTGAAGGGACACATTTAATTTGGCAGAAGGCGCCTTTGGGGGTGTATTTGGGCTAACTAAGGTTAATAATAACTCCCTTACTACCCCTCCCATTTAAAAAATAATCTTTATCACAGAGAATTCAAATAAGCAAAAGGGAAGAAGTTAAAATCAACAATCATCCTACATGTTGAAAGAACCAATTGTTTTGATACTGTTTTTCCTTTTACTTTGCTAAATATGTATATTTTTATAAAAATAGGCTCATATTTGCATAGTTTCATAACCTGCCTTTTTTGCTGAATATATTGTGAACATCTTTTCCAGGTCTTTAGTCTTCCATTTTTATTCCTCTGTTATTCTATCATATGGCTGAAGCATAATTTATTTAATCCTCTGTAGGACATTTTGACTATATACATATCTTTTCATGGTGATAACTAATAATTCACTGAATTTTGTGTACATCCATGACTGTTTCCTTAAAATAATTTCTTAGAATTGTTGGGTTAACAGATATGCAAAATTTTTAGGCTTTTGATACTTAACATAGAAGTGTATTTTTTGAAATATCTCCCGTTTGATCCAGGCAGCATGTCACTATATAACTGATAAAAACCAACTGGTCTCTGGTTATCAGATTCTTTCTCTAAAATTAGTTTAAAGATTGGGTTACATTTAAGAATCAGATAAAGAAAAGTTAGATGGCTTTAAAATTTATATCAATCTAGTAATTCGCTGGTAGTACTGACTAAAAGCTTTAAAGTAGGTAAAATCAGGTCAGCTTTGGGTTATATGGCTTTCATACTCTGAAAGAATATGAGCATTCTGTATGTGTCGGGTACGTAATTCCCTTTCATGCACGTGAGAGGTAGTTGTGATGGCTTCTTTCTTGGCTTATGTTGCATTGAACTGAATGACACGTGTTCTTCTCCTCTGGAACTTTGTATTTAAGTCCCTACATTAACCTAAAGGTGTTTTTTTTTTCTTTTTTTAAAAAATAACTCTGCTTTTATTAGTTTCTAAGAGAGAAATGGGCTTCAGAGACTAAGCCATAGATAGAAGCGACTTTAGTGGCTTCTATCCCTCCCCTCATACCTCGTTAGAATAGAGATGCTTTACTACCTCATTAGAATTTTACCTTCCTAATGTCATATACTTGCGTGTGATGATGTTTTAAGCTATTTGTATTCTTTTCCTTCTACACTGTAATACCTATTCAGTATTTTCCTGTCTTCAAAAACATGCCTTTGACCTTACTTCCAAAGACAGTCCTTTTGTACTGCATATTCAACGGATACTTGTGCAAGGCAATGAATTACAGTAGCTCCTGTGCCAAGGTTAATGCAAGTGTGCCAAAAAACGTCAGTAAAATATGTGCTGGCTCTGTCTGTAGTAACCTAATGGCCGCGTATTAGTTTTAGGGGTGGAAGTTCTAAATTGATAGGTAATTCCTCCATCTTCCATAAAAATACGTAAGATTAAAAATATTCTTACACTACACCATAAACTTTTGCCTCTTTATGGTATAATTTAGATCTTTGAGTGTCCTCTAAAACAAACAGTAACCATTTTGTGTCTTTCTTTTGCATCTGTTTCCCAGAGTTCAGAGTACATCTGAACGAAAGATATTTCTGAACCATAAACACTGGGTAATCGATAGGAAGCAAATTGCTGGGCAAAGATACATCATAAGACAGTGCCTTTCAGCCAGGACAGGCAGGCCAAGAAAGCTTATTCATGCATATATAATCCCCAATGGTTGGTTTCCAAGAAACCAAATCCAAGTCCTTTTTTCAAGCCAAACCAAAGCACTGACTAATCAAAGAACACAAAGGGGTAATATTTGGGCTAACAGCCGTTTAAAGAAATAGCAGAGCTGTTCCTTTGGAGCAGGAGTGTCAGACTCTTTCACTGGGGGTCACATCAGCTGCCTTCAAAGGGCCGAATGTAATTTCAGCTCCTTAACAGTCAAGGAGTAGTTACATTTATACAGTCCTAAAATTATTTTGGCCCTTTGAAGGCAACTGCGGGGCTGACGTGGCCCCCGGTGAAAAAGAGTTTGACACCTCTGAAGGAACAGTGTATGTTTTAAGAAATGGTTTCTTTCTCTTTCTAAGCTTGCACGTAGCAGTCTCATGAAAGTGCTGTCTTGTAGGACAGTGCAAAAGGAAGAACTAGGCACCCTATAATTCTGTATAGACTATAAACTACCATGTTTCCTACTTACATCAAGGGCAGAACAAAGCAAATTTTAATTTTAGATTTCATTTCCCATTATAAGGCAGTCTAGGTACCCTCAGTAACTCCCAGTTTGCAAAACCAAATGCTGGATAAAATATAAGCAACGATATAAAGTAATAATAAATAATATACAATATTTAAAATACATCCAAGTTGAAATGAAAGTCCTGCAAAACTCCAAAAAGGAAGTGGAAACAGGAAACCTGTGAGGTAAGCCAGCACCGAAGCCTGCTTTGCCCTGAGAGTTCTGTTGCACTCGAGACCATGAAACAGCAGTGGGTGGACTGGACACGAAGCCCAAGGCTCGCTGGAGTCCAGGAGGGCCACCGCAGAGAAGTGGACAGCTAGGCAATGTGCCTGGCTCAATTCGGGTGCAAGGTGGAGGGGGATACATCACCAGCACTCAAATTCATACAGGCCAGCCCTCAAGGTCTGTGATCTGAAATCCTGGAGCCTTCAAGCTGATAAAATGTTTTCATGTTGGTAGCCAAACAGTATCTAGCAGAGAAAATCCTCTCAAAGATTCCAATTTCAGTCCATACTTCAAGTAATTCCTACTTCCCAAGGAGAGTAAGTTTAAAATACCACCGAACTCAAGGGAAAAGGGCACCACGAGTGGAAAACAACAGTGGAATCACCCTCAAGGACTCAACAGAAAAAGTGATGATGTGTAAAGAAATAGAAGAATGGGAAATACGAATAATGAGCAAAAGACTACAAAGAGAACAAATGAGATTTGTAAACCAACTGGAACTCAGGAAAAAATGAAAATAAAAACCCAACAAACAGAGGGGGAAATGAGAAAATGAAAAACAGAGGCAAGACAACAAGGAGGGTGTGTAGACAAAAAAAAGTAATTTATAATGAGGACCTAGAAATAAGTCCAACTTATATTTGTGATCACAAAAAATATACCTGTACAAACCTATCCAGTTAAAAAGACAGATTTTCTCTGGCCTTTTAAGTGCCTCCTGCAAACTTAAAATATCAATATAAGGCCAAACAAAAATCTAAGGTATTCAGATAAAGACTAAGCAGAACATTGCTATGGTAAGTAATGACAACAATGAAGCAAAGGCAACAACCAGACATGGGCACTGAGTCATTATAAAGGGTTCAGTTCACCAAGGAAGATAGAAGAATTCTAAATTACCGTATTTGGCCGTGTATAGTGGGCACCTTTTGCCCTAATTTTTGAGGGCAAAATAAGGATGTGCATTATACATGGGTGGTACTAATTATGTATCTATATAAATATAATTATTTTGTACTTATGCATTTAAAAGTATAACTAGAAAGCAATAATGACACCCATATGCAAAATAATACCCTGGAATACAATAATCGGTTTTGTTTCTAAATATAAATAAAAAATTTAATTAAAAAATTAATATGAGCCCTGGCTGGTGTAGCTCTGGGTTGAGCATGGGCTGTGAATCAAAGGGTCGCCAGTTCAATTCCCAGTCAGGGCACATGCCTGGGTTGCAGGCCAGGTCACCAGTGGGGGCCATGTGAGAGGCAACCACACAGTGATGTTTCTCTCCCTCTCTTTCTTCCACCCTTCCCCTCACTCTAAAAATAAATAAAATTAAAAAAAAATTAAAGTGAAAGATTTTTTTTCCTGAAAGTTTTCCCAACATGCGGGTGTGCATTATACATGGCAAAATGCAGTAGTAAGTATCTAATAATAAAGGCAGAAGAGAAAGAAAGCAAATAATGACAACTTCAAGAGACACTGAGAAATCTATCATCATGAGATCTGGAGGCCTCAGGAGATAAGAAATCAAGCACGAGGTAAATCGGTAAGGAAGACCTGCGCAGCACAGCTAACAAGTCTGAGTTAATGGGTACTATGCTCCACAGTTGGGGAACACACCATTCTTTTCATATATATGTGAAACATGCATGAAAACCAATCACATGGTAAATCATGAAACTACTCTCAAATTTCAGAAAACCAAAACCTTACAGCTCATTTTCTGGCAAAATAATAAAGACTGAACTATAATACTTCAGTCCCCAGCAACTCTACCAAAAAAACAAATAGACACCTATAACACACCCCTGGCATTTGGGAGGAACTCTAAAAAATAACTAATGGGTTAAATATTCAAAGGTCTAGAAAAAAAATTTTTAATGGGCACACATAAACCAATAGGAATGAAAAAGGGCCATAACTACAGATGTGGAAACTAAAAAGATAATACAGCTAACTTCATAACAAAAAAAGTGTAACGAAGAAATCACTAGAAAAAATTATCAAAACTGACATACTCACTTTGGCTGCATATATACAAGACCGACTCAATAATACAAAATCCTAATGATCCTATACCCTCCAAAAAAATGGAAGCAATAGTTACAATTCTTCTCTGAATGGCAAATGGCTTTAAAGACAAGGCCTAATCAGAAACTCTTCCAGACAACTGAGAAACCTCATTTCGTGAGGCTAGTCTAACTTGGAAATAACAACCAGACATGAAAGGAGCATGACAGGCTGACTTCACTCACCAACAGAGGAGCAAATATCATAAACAAAACACTGGCGAATTGAGTCCAGAAATGTATTAAAGCGCACGCATGGACCCACACCCATAACCAAGTTGGGTTCATCCTAGGAATTAAAGGTTGGTTCAGTATTAAAAAGTCAACTACCATAATTTTATATATTAACATTAACAAAAAAAAACCTATTGCACCATTTAAATGATAATATAAAGCAGTAAATTCAACATCCATTCATAATAAAACTATTAGCAAACTAGAATTAGAAGAGAATCTCCTTAACTCCACAAAGGCCATTTGTGGGAGAAAAAATACTGAACTGAAATGTTGAAAGCATTCTCTTTAAATCAGGACTGAGGTAAGGAAGTGCATTATTAGTTCTTTTCAACTGTACTACGGGTCCTAGGCAGTGCAGACATGTAAAAAGAATTTTTTTAAAGGTGTAAGGATCAAAAAGGAAGAAAACTTCTCTATTTGCAGATGACATGATACACGAAAAATTCAAAATAACATCTAAAGACATTATTAAAATAAAAGTTTAGTGAGACTGCCAGATTCAAAATCAACACATAGCACCAATATGTCTATAATCAGCAGCAACCATATAAACTAGAAAGTGTAATTAAAAAAAAACTTACCATAGCATTAAAAAATATAAAATGCCTGGGGGGGGGGATCTAATATAAGACATGAAGACCTTTATGGAGAAAAATTATTAAAGTTTATTGAGAGATATTAAAAGACCAAACACATGGAGAGACATACAATGTTTTTGGCTAGGAAGACTCTATTGAAAAGATTATCCATTTTCTCCAAGCTGGTCAACAGATTCAATACAATTACAAAAGATAATACACAAACTGAAAGAAGATA